CAAACGAACAGAGACGTAACAATATGTTCAGAGCAAATATTATAACATTACAAGGAGATAGAAATATATAAAGAGTATATTAAAATGTCAAAACGATTCCCTTTGTCATATTTAAAAGAAATTATTTATTAGTTTAACTCTTTGTTTGTTGTTGAATACAAATCTACACAATGAATTATCTGTGTTATGATCACCACGGGTATCGAAACCCGGTTCTTGGCGTTATAAGCCTTCAGACTTACAACAGAGTCACTGTGGGGCTTATATATTGACAGATATGTTTAAAACCTGTTATGTTTCACAGAGTTTACTTATTCAAAACCTTGAGAAAAGTTCTTGATTTGTTTATTGTTGAACTTTTTGCGCAAAGCTACACAATGGGCTAGCTACATTCTGCTGACCACGTGTAATCGAACCCCGGGTTGTAAGTTCAGAAACTTACCGCTAACCCCTCAGGTGGACCTACTTCAATGTAGTGTTTAAAAAAGAATGAAAAGAGGATTTTAAACATATTTACTTGTTTATCAGTAAATAAACAAATAACGATTTTGTTTTACAAGTTTTACCATTGAATAATTATAACATATGTAGATATATGATTAATCCTATGACAACGTAATAATAATATTATAACTCAAATATTCTACCACGCCTGTGTGCAGCATCAACAATTAGTCACACACATACACACACGTGAATATATACACACACACATATATGTGTATATGTATTGATAGTTGGGTGTGTAGTATTTAGTGTGTGACGTTTTAATTAATTTCAAATGTTTAGATTATTGAGTAAGCCGGGGCTCAGATAAATGTAGGGCTGTAGAAGATCTGAGAGCATTAACGCACCGGAAGAAGTTTTCGACAGGAAGCCAGGCCAAACTATATGATTCATATAACGCAAACATCCGTTGAGCATGGTAAGTGGTAAACTAGTTCGGTGATTTCAGCCTTTCTTACCTAATGAATGTACTTTTGTAGTTGCATTTTGAAATTTCTCAGCTTGACATAAATACTGTACACTTTAACTTGTTAAAAGCGTAGAAGAAAAGTTATATAGCCATTATAGTTATACAGGTAAGCTGTGTGTTTTATTATTATTATTTTAATTTAATTAATTTAAATCTTGTTGTGTATAGTATTAGTAATTAGTATAGGTGTGTTTGTTTGTTTGCTATTATTGATTATTTGATTTGATGTCACGGTCACACCAAATTTTATTTTTAGTGTTACTTTCTCTATTATTATTATTACTTATTAGTACAACTATCAGGAGTCTAGCTAATAATAATAACAAAAAAAGTGCTGAGTGAACAGTTTAATATTTAGAACCTAGTGAAATTATATTTTTGGTGTGGTATTTTCCGGTTTGCAAGTTGCAGGTTTCCCTCAGACTAGGTAGTTAGGGCCTGCCGTCTGGAGGTTTGAAGAATACTAAGTAATGGAGTGTGTGTTTGTATATTTTTCTGATTTCTAACTCAGTTCTTCAGGAAGAAAGAGTCAAAACACAGCAGGTCCACAAGAATATGCTTTATTACACACAATTATATTTCCAACACAATTGCTAGAACAAGAAAGAACAGGGGCAAGTGTGTCTGTTGTGGCTGTGTTGGACTGGTAAGAGAGCCAAAGTTTAAAAGTTCATCAAAACTTCTGAAAAAATCTGACTAATAAAGGAAAACTTGCCTTTTAATGCAAAATATACAATAACAAGCCAGGTGTGCATATGAAACTATTCTGTATAAAACTTTCATCCAGTCATTTTCAAGTAATGTGGAAGGTGAAACCATGGGCTATTACTCAATTTGCTGACAGAAAAGTCAGCTTTCTATTCATGGACATTACATGCTATTTTTCCTGTAAGATGCTCAGTTAATTGCTAATTAGCAAAGAGACCTCAGAAATAGTTAGAAAAAAACAAAATTAAGATGATTTATTTGAACAACTGCCAAACTAAACTGAACAAAAATTCAGAAATTTTGAAAATCTTTACATATTAACTAAGGTAGTAGAAAACACACGGTACTTTCTCTATCCACAAGGACAAGTCAACTACAATACATATATTAAATAATTGTAATATAGTAATTTATTGTTATTGTGGGATAAAACAAATCCACAAAAAAATTATATATTTTATTTCTTAGTATAAATTTGCTAATAAAATACAAACATGCATTCATAGCTATATATCAAGTGTGTAAGTTTTGAAGTTTTGTGATTTCAATTCTAAATGTTAAATTACTTTAGATAAAATGTAAAAAGGAGCCTTAATACATGTATGTTTTTGTTTATGTAAAGTATGAAATTTTGAACCTATTCAAACATTTATTTAGTATCTGTAATTGACATGCCTAAAACATAAATATTGCATGATTTTCTGTTTTTTAATATTTTTTTATAACAACTTCTTTAGTACTTCAGCACTCCAAAGTAAGAAAATGAATTCTTAGCCTTAAGACACCTAGTTTATTGTGCAAAACATTTTTTATTGTTGAATGACTGAAAAAATAGAGATTAATAGTCAGCTTTTTAGTATATATCTGAGTGAAGGAATTATGTAAAGTGTTTCTGATACATAATCTTGATGCTTATTATATATGTACATCAAGAATATCTTTTTACAGAATATTTATATTTAAATGTTGATAGACAAAACTCTTCATCAGCATTACCTGTTATAATTCTATATTTTGATCAGGTAAGAAATCTTAGTTGCTATTAAACCATGTAAAATTACATTTAATGTGACAAATGCACAACAAACTAATGCACTAGTCAAATTTTAAAAGTTTATTATTGCTTATTCTTTTTTGTAATGTATTAATAGCTATCTTAAAGACAATATATAAACAACATGTTAATTTTCATTTCTCTATTGTACAATTTTTTTTTTTTAGGTACAACACAATGAAATATTTTACCATTGGAACAGTTATTATTTTACTTCAACTGTCAGGAATATGTAAAACTCAAGGTAATTAAAATATTACATAAATATTTATGATTTATGGGTTGTATATATATATATATATATATATTGCATTACTATTATCGGTCAAGGTTGTCAATTTATTGTCACAATGGATAATGTCTGTGGTAATAGCACCCAAATGTGTTGGGGATACCCCATTTATCAGACAAAATCCAAATGCCAAAGTCAGTCTAGTCAGCTGTCGTGGAAAATCATAAAAAATCAAATAAGGGTATGAAGCTGAGTGCTTACATCTACAATGTCTCAACTTATACTGCTTTCACTGTCTATAGCTAGTTGTGGGAAGGTAGTTACCCTTAAATTACTTAAAGTAGAAATGAAGCCACCCTAATATTGGTTTTTGTCTGATAGATATTACGAAAGACATTATTCGTTATGACAATATATACAAACATGGTGAGAGGGAGAGAATGGTGTCTTTGTTTTAATAGCTGGAAAAATGATAGCAGCACAGTTTTCAAATAATGTATATTGTTTAATGTCATGATTTTTATGCTTTACATAGAAAATTGAAAAAATTAGGTATTTGTAGTCAAGATGTAGCAACATTTTATTAGGCTTACATGTGTAGTGTAGTTATTTATTGTTTTGTGATATAATGCAAATTCATTTGAAAGTTGTATATATTATTTCTTAGTTTAAGTTTTCAAATAAGATATATGGACTTACTTATAATTGTATATCTAGTGTTTAAAATTCTTTGAAGTTTAGGATACAACATATTAGCAAGTACTTACTAAATGAAGATAATAATGTATGCTGTTGATAATGGTAAGGCAAATAGGATTTTAGGTTGTATCTATAGAAATATTGAATTCAAGTCTAAAGAAGTTGTAATTTCATTGTAGAGGTCACTGGTCAGGCCACTTTAGGAATATTTTGTTCAGTCTTGGGCTCCTTACCTTAGGAAAAACATTGCTGGAAATGGTTCAGAGAAGGATTACTAGAATGGTGCCTGGGATGGAGAGGTAGTCATAAGGAAAGGTTGAAATCTCTCAAATTGTTTTCTCGTGAAAAAAGAAGAGTTAGGGAGATCTGATTGAGGTGCTTAAGATTTTAAACAGAATTGATAGTGTTGATGCATCATCTTTTTCATATTTAACAGTGAGAATATTTGAACTATGGGACACAAATATATAAATTTTGTCAGGGTAGGAGTTATCTTTAGCTAAGACAGTTCTATTTTTCTAACAGAGTGGTTGACCTCTGGAATAGGTTGCCTTCGGATGTTGTAGAGGCAGTAAATTTAAGTGAGTTTAAGAAAATGGCTGTTAAGTATAGGAATGATAAGGGCTGGTTTTAAGATTTTTTTTTATTTAGTTTAGAGAATGGAACAACTGAGATGGACCAATAGGTTTATGATTTAAGTTCTAAATGTTAAATTACTTTAGATAAAATTTAGTTAAGAGACCTTATTAAAAGACAATTATTTTATAAAGAGTAGAAATGTAAGTGTACAAGACCACTTGAATACTAGCAGTAATAATATTATTTAACATGATGTTTTACTACTGCTACAGTGTAGTTGTAACATTGATAAAAGTGTTTCCAGTTTTATAAGACTTAACTTTTAGAAGCTATAAAATATTATATGAAAAAGATTGGATGGGTGATCTAGGTAGGAGAAAATTTTTTTAATGAAGCTTGGAAAATGTTTATTACTTTATCATACTTCATGTTTTTGAAAATGAACATATATATATTTCAGAATTTTCCTTCCGATCAAATGACCATTCTTAAGTGGATTAATAGAAAAGTAGAATTATTACTTAAATAATTAACAAACAAGATCAAGCTTATGAGCATGTAGGATGTAGAATAGATAAGAAAACTACTATTAAGGCTATAAAAGGAATATGAAAGTTTTTCAGCACATAACATAAAATTTGTCTTGAAGGGTTGTTATACTGGTAGTTTTGATATTGCAAAAAAAAGTAAAATATAATGCTACCAGAAGCTTACAGAGAAAAATAATTTAGTTGAGGTGTTTAACAGCTTTTCTATTAGTGTTTTTTCTTATCAGGAAGTGATTTTAAATGATTAATGTCTTCTGATGGGTCAGTAGTAAGTTAACTGACTTACAATGCTAAAATCAGGAGTTTGATTTCCCACAGTGAACAAAGTGCAGAAATCCCATTGTGTAGGTCTGCACTAAGACAACAACAACAACAAATGATAAATATATTTTTCAAGTACAGAAAATCTAAATCTATTACTTTCAAATAGGCTGGCTAAAAAAAGTTTAAAAAAGATTCATTATTTGGTGAGGAAATGCCTGGCATTGACAAGAGTTATGTTGGAAACATAGTGTTCAACAAACAATATGACAAATCAGATATTGCACTATCTAATGAAATCAAATTAGATATTAATTTTACTATAAATTGGATAATTAGGTAACATTTTCATCAACAGGTTATATCACAATACTACCCAGACATAATATTGCTGGTACGTCCATTACACATAATATTTATTGCATCATCTAACCCACTGGTGCTTTCTACTAGCTTCTAACCATAGTACCATTTTCTTCCCTATTGAAATGTTAAGAGTTCTGGTAGCTGTAATACAGGTAGTAATTATGTAGTTTAAATAACCATCAGGCTTATCCATTGTGTTGCCACTGTTTGCTGCAGATGGTCATAAAAGCAACAACAAACACAATCAAACAACTGTTTCAGTGGAGGATTGGGATTTTAAAGCATTGTCTCACATTGCCACTTGCTGTATTTCCTTAAAGGTTCTGCAGTGGCCACTCACTCATGTAAAACTGTACATCTTTATTACATTTTCAAAAACTATGTGATACTGTAATGGTCTAAACAAAATGCCATTACAGCCAAGGTCAAACAAAAACAATTTATTAAAATATAACAGGAGAAATAAGAAAAAAAATTGTAAACAACTGGAATACAAATTTTGTCACTTATAAAAAACAATTAATAAACCCATGCCATTCCAGGACTAGATACAAACATTAATAAACAATACAATATCAATGTCTCAATGTGATTAATTTCAATAAATATCAAACAAATTAGAAAAAGAACCAGAAAAAAAAACCTAATTCACCAGAGAATAACAAAGTAAACCACTTCTCAATATCAAGAACAATATGGAGCAATAATTCTTTCTAACTATATCTTGTGAACTAACTCATTTTCAAAATCAAGGAAGACTTTTATTTTAGTGATGAGAGTATGAGGTTACATCTCATGTGACTAGCTATTACCATAAATCTACATAATCTTTCACAACATTTAATTTCTGTATATTACTGCTAGGGGAAGCTTGTGTCAGTTTCGTAATACATTCATACTCAAAATCAACGTGCTCTGGAGAGAAGGTGAGTTAATATAACTAAAAATTCATTGTTGAACTAAACAGTAGAAGGTATAATAAATGAACAGTAAACCAAACCATAACAAAATAATAAGTAGAATTTGCTATCTCACAAAAGTAATTTGATTAATTCTATACTGAAATGAAGTGATAGCTCAATTTGTGGCACATTTTCAATATGTGTGGCCACATCTGCAATACTATCTGATCCAAAAATTCCAAATTCAGTCAGCTATCAAAAGTCATAATCTGATATCCAACTGAAACTACTAGTTGTGCGTATGGCCACATCTGCAATACTATCTGATCCAAAAATTCCAAATTCAGTCAGCTATCAGAAGTCATAATCTGATATCCAACTGAAACTACTAGTTGTGCCATCCCTAGCTTTAACTATATGTTATTTCTGAAACTTCTCTTGATTTTGGAGAAATTGCTGATGATTGGAAAATTGATGATGCTATCTCAATTTTTAAAAAGAAAGGGTTATGGGAAGATGTACAGAATTATACAGGGACTTGCTTTTCCTTGAATGAGGGCAATCTTGTTAACATGTGTTTTGAATTTTTTTGTAAAAGATTAAATGATAAGTTAGATGCTTATGGGATTGCTGAAAAACTCAATTGGTAGATAAAAATGTAGGTTTAGCAGTAGAATGCAAACAGTGGTTAAATGCCACTTTAGGGTTATAAATGGCCATTTATCAATTAAAATGATGTGACTAGTGAGTTTATTCAGGCTTTTTAAAATGTTTGTTATTTATTATTGTTTATGGCATAAACTTGGATAACTCTTGGACTATTATTAAATTTGCAGGAATGAGTTATTCTATTGAGAATATTTTTGATTTTAAGAAAGGACCTTAACAGCTGTAGTGACTGGAGCATAACATGGAAAAAATTGAGTTTCAGTATTGTGAAGTTTAATAATGTATATGCACAGTGTATTTTATGCAGTTGGTATATGAAGATTTGCAAATGACTTACAGTTTGTATGAAAGGTGCATCAGTAATGTATAAAAAAGATTAAGATGTGAATGTTAATAACAGTCTAAAGCTTTATCTCTAACCTTAGTAAGAGAACTGACATAGTTTTGGGATACTTTTATATGGATTTTGGATTTAAGAGTAAAAAAGTAATTATAACTTTGAAATAAAGTGAGGTTTTATTTGGAATACTGTATACAGTTTTGGTCAGTGTACTAATTACTGAGAAATATCAACATGTAAGAAAGAGTTGAAGACAGATTATTAGGAGGACACCTGGTTCAATATGTTTGATCTATAAAATTTTAACATGTTTTTTCTCTGAATTTGAGAAGATGTAGTAGGGACTTGATTTTAGTGCTTAAAATTGTGAGGGAGGTATACAATTTGCTCATGTAGGTGGAATGTAGGTGGTAATTAATATGATTAGAATATGAGGGATGGGAGCTTTAAACTTTGGAAGCACTTGCTTTTAAAAAAGTTTAATTAGAATTTTAAACTTTTATAATGATTTTTGCTCTTTAAAATATTTTAAATTGGATCTGAAGGGCTGGATTTTAATTTGGTTTTTGATAATTTTGTTGTTGTTAATGAGTGAGAAGAAACTTTAATAGCCTTCTGTCACCTTAAATTTGTTCTATGCTTTTAGAC